AACTAATCAAAATGCTCTATTGCTGGTCAATATTTTCTCAGTATTGGACTGGGCACTGTCCCGAATGGTTCCGAATGATACCGCACTTGTGTCCCTTTGAACTTCAGTCGTACAATAATTCTCTTATTAACCAAGCTTGCTCGGGACCGTACTGGAAGAATATTGGCCCTCGGTCTTTTCTGTATGGAGCTCGCTGTGCTCGGTCCATACTGTCAAGACCTCGGGCTGATATTCTCCCAGTACGGCCCTCACGCTTGGTTAATAAGATATATTTACAAAATCAATATGTTGTCCAGCAGGAAGGTGAAGAGAAGAAGGCGTGGGAAGAGTAAATCAGGGATTCTCAGCACTACCAGGGCTCGACAGTAACTTTTCAACTTACGAGCCAATTGGCTAGTGACAACTAAGATGTTACTAGAATTTCAGTTTGTTTACTAGCCAAACTGGCTAATGGAAATCAAAAAACCACTAGCCAAAACTGAATTTCTACTAGTCTGTGGCTAGTTGGCTGTTGTTAGTGTCAAGCCCTGATATATGGTGTACAGTTAAGAGAAATCAGGATAAATGTGGAAGTGAGAGGATAAACCCTTAAGCTTTCAAGATCTCATTTAAAAATTCTCCTCACTGTCTTCTATATAGTTCTTATGATGTCACTTTAGAGAATTTGGTTTGGGATCAACCAATAATCCCCTGCTTTGTACTTTTCTATATTCCTATTACTTGTCTGCTTGAAATTGTATTAATATTTTAGGGAAAAATTCCTTCTTGGTTACTCCTGGGAGTCTAGGGGTGAACACTAAATGAATGATTTATTTGCTTCCCCTTTCCCAACTAGCCTTCTTCCTCCTTCTCTGAATCTGTCTTACTACGACTATACTGATAAAATTCTTTTTTTTGTTTTTGTTTATTCTATTGCAGCCAGGGAGTGGACAAAAACCTATGCTATACAAAATTAAAAACTAGAATATGTCTGTTGGATGTTCATGTTTCCTATGAGTTGTTGCTGAACGCTGTGCAAAGCTGATACCACAGTTTATGCAAGTGGTGCTTATTCTTTCAAGACGAGTCCCAAACTGTTTTTTTTTTTTTGTATAAAATTTTATCCATAGTCACTAGATATAGTAGGGTCATATACTGTAAATTGTAGATCCAAAGCTGAAGATACAGAATCCCAGTGTTCAGTTGCTGATTTTAGCTCAGTGTTGTTGCTTTAAAAATGATGTGTCAACTGATGCACTAGAGGACATTTATTGCAGCATTATATCGCAGTGACATGTTGCAGATTTTTGAAGCTGATTCAAACATCTCCAATTTTTTTGCCCATTGTTTTTGTTCCATTAGAAGTCATCTTGTGTTAGCCACCAATCACTATCTAAGAACCATTTCCCTAACCCTCTAGCTCCCTAGATCCAATTGTTGATTCTCCCCTCTAGCTGCTACACATTTCCTTATAAATGAGTTATGAGAATTTGGTGTTAGATTAGGATGTCCACTTTTACTGGATAAGTTTGGATACTCTCATTACATGTTTGCTGGATAATTTTATGGAAATGATAGAGAGAAGTTTCATGTGAATCGCTTCAGGGAGTTAAAGGGTTATTAAAAGCCGTCTTCTGTGTAATGGCTATTCAACAAGTAGACTAAATGTTGTGTTGTACCAGTGCTGTAGTGGATCACAGATGTTGTCAAAATGTGGAAAGAACAAATGAGTTGCACACAAGATGCAGCCAGCTGTGTCACTAATACTCTTACTGTATTTTGATGTCTTCTTGGATCTATTACTGAAAAGGAGCACAGCAACATAGAATCTCTTTGTTTTATATAATAAAGAAGGAAAATGTTGTTAATGGTGATCTCATCTCTGCATCTATGCTAGCTCTAATAGATCACAAGTTAGCACCAATCAAGGAGCTTAATTTATTCACTGTTATGTCTATATTAATTACATGTCCCTCTTTGCCTTGATCATACTTTTTGAATTTGAAATGATTTATATTTAAAAAAGAAGCAGAAAGGGCTACTTCAAGTGAAGACATTAGGATACTCAATTTTCGCAATTTTGGAATAAAGCGTCTTTCGCAAGAATTGACTTTCGCGATTTTTACAGGAAAAGATTGTGATGAAGAAAACTTAATCTGAAGTCAGAATTTTGAAATCAGCGGAGCTCTTGCATTCAGAGCGGAGACCCAGACCTAAGAAAATATAGTTAAAAATCAAGTTAAGTAATGGTGGATGTGGATGATGGCTGTTCGTCCATCTCAGCGCAAGCGATAGCTCGCCAGCGAATTCCGTTCGGTGGATCTTAATTACTATGGTAACAAACTACGTCAGAGTTGTGGCCAAAGCTTCACAAGTTCTTAGTAATTACTAATGAGGCTCCAGTGGCCGTTATTGTCTTCGCCTTACTCATGGTTAAGTTACTAATTGGTTGCTAATTGATGGTGCAATGCCGGTCTCTTTAATTTGATGTCAACCTGAGTTGGCATATTTACCCTGGCGAATTGATTGCGAGTCAGATACTCTCAGGTGAAAATTGTTTGCCAATTAGTTAAAATCCAAACGATGTTGTTCTAAATTGTTCGGCATAATTTCACTGAAAATTACCAAATTAGCGCATTGCTTACGCTTCTCGAATCCTTAGATGGCAAGAAACTCCATCAATTTCTTAAGGATCAACTCATAACAATAAAATCAAAATTTAACTAAGAAAGCAAAACAACAAAAGCAGGAGTGCCTACTACGTTGAATTTCAAACGTCTCAGTTTGCAAAATATTTGGTTATTCAGCTAATGTAACTCAAACGGATTATTTGGTTTAACAAACAAAATTAATTTACTCGAAAATTATTTTTCAATTACTTAAGGTTGTTCGAAAAAAAATTTGCAATATTTGCCCATCTATAAACGATAAATATACGCATGATATCCTAAACACACCTTAAGCTTGAAATGCGCGACTTTTTTTGTTCGTATCTCGGCGACGCTTTTGTGAATCTCTCCACCAAAATTCTAAAATGAAGCGAGGTAACCTTGTCAGCAAATCTGTTTAGACATTTATTCTTCGCGATAATTTGGTTTTATCCATGAGCTACTGAGTTGATAATGTATGTTGGCCACCGTACAGAGTTTCTAAAGCTGACTTATCCAGTGTTAGCCCTGAGCAAATGTGTCATGGTTACTGAATCGTTTCATGCCGAATCAAATCAATTTTGCATCAAAACTTTTTTGGGTCAAATCATATTTTGATGGTGGAATTGGAAAATAAATGCTCCCCAAAAGCAAACAAAGCAACACAAATGAGTCTATATCCTGCACATTTTACCTCTTATTGACATTCAATGGCAACGTTTCATTCTTTTTTTTGATACCACAAAAAAGTTCAATGTTGTCCCTTTGGATATCTAGTCCATGACTAGATAATTTGTATAGACACGCTACATTTCTAAATGTCCCGAATCAATTCAGTTGAGAAAATCGCCAGTATACAAAGGTTTAAAAATATCTTTCCACAACTGCAGTGCGACCTCTTCCTTCATCCAGGTTTGGAGAACCAAGCGAGGCCTTAAATTTTTGGAACCCGGGTGGACGGCTTGTCTTTAAATCTTGCAATGTTGACACGGTTTCTCTTCCTTCTGCACCGCAGGTTTGGACCGTTTTTTTTTTTTCTCTAAATCATCTTTTCCAACGACGTACGATGTGCCATTTCTTTCACGATCAGGAAGCAACTCTTGGTCTTGTTGTGGCCATTCCAAACTTTTGAGGATCCGAACAATTTCTCTTCAGAAGGAATGGGGAACTTATCTATGGTCATTTTCTTATATCATGTTTTAACCTGAGTAACTTTCGATATAGACGAGCCATAGTTTACCTTGTTTCCAGCGTGCGGTCTGAGTGATGATTTGATGATTTGATACAACCTGTTTTTGATTACCGCTCGGGAGACAAGAAGGCCGAAATTCGCGGAAAGCAAATACAGTAAATCATGCTGTGCGAAGTATTTACACCCCATGCGCACATGTTCTTACGCGTGTAGCATCATGGGACTGTGAGAATCTTGAGCTTTTTTGACCGGTTGAAGATGGCAATGTAGTTACCAGCGTTATTAGGCCGCACTTGATTCTGGAGCATGCATCTCCTTCAAGAACCACGTGATGCAACATTTTCTCAGCTATGGCTGAGATCATTGTTTCTGATAAGTCTCTCCACGGAAACCATGAATTCTATACATGTTTATTTCCCTGTACTAAGCGAAATTTGTCTCTGCCGATATATTATCGGAATAGGAGTTAGAATATGTTTAGTTGATTCGATGCCCTTGAGTGCCTTTGTAAAACAAAATGACCGAGAAATTCGAGACTACATACTGACCTTAAATCTTTTGAAATTTCATCAAATAACCTTATGAACTCGCTTTTTCGAATAACTAGTTCCTAAAAAGTGGGGTTGTCCCGAATTGTGTTTTTGTCTTTCAATGAAATTCTGCACGCAAACTATTTTCAATTGTTTCTTTTTTTTTCTGTATCACCACATAACATCCATTGACGGTATTAATATCATTTGCTGCTACAACTGTGGGCTTTCGACAAATTAGTGAAATAATTCATATTATTGAGTTTAACAACAGAGGAAAATGGGATATAAAATGTTCCTTTCGTTCACAACAATAAAATTGTTGTTAGTTAGCTATATAACGGAGACATGACTTACTTCAAGGACAAATAAAATTCAAAATATTTTGCCCAGAGACAACTTGGATACCAAGTGAACAAACTACCATACCTTTTCCAATAAGAGATTGGATCTCCTTCCATAATTCTAAAGCTAACGATTGTGAAAACCAATCAAAACAAAGAAATCTTTTGACGTTTTAAATTCCAGTAACTGTACAGTTATTTGCAACAAAATGAGTTTTTAACGGTCAACTTGTACCAGCCTGTGTTCAACTGACTTTCCATTATTGACATAGCTACACAATTCCATCTCTAAAAATGTAGTGTCCGTTTGCAGCACATCAAAAGTGCACAGAGGCTTGGAAACATCTTCCCACAGCAGTAAGCGACTTCCTCGTTCAGCGTTTGCGAACCACTGAGCTGCAGTCTGAAATTATTTAAACCTGGCGGATTTTTGCGCTTCAAATCTTCCAATGTTGTCCTTTGCTGGGCTTGACCACCACCTCCCTCAAGCACGTTTTTGAATGCCATCTGCCCGACGTCTTTCATTTTACATTCATGTTTTACACCATGGAATGGAAACCTCTTTCTTTCTGAACATGGTGAAGCCCTGTCGGCGCAAACAACTTCACGATTCGTTGGTTTTCAAAAGTCAAAAAGCCGTACGAAGCCGAAGCCGAACAAACTACCGAAGCCGAAGCCCTACAAACTACCGAAGCCGAACAAATTACCGAAGCCGAAGCCGTACGAGTACGGGTTCGGACGGTTATCCTAACACAAGTCATGACTGTTTTCTGTTGGGCTGTTATTCGCCCTCTATTTCCCATAACGCCTGGTTTACAAGCTCCCGGTGAGGTTATCGGAAAAACGTCAGGAATGTCTCCTCTGTCACTACTTAACTCTTCAAGCAGATTTGATAGCGGACGACGGAAGTAAAAGCGAGAAATCTCGGATCAAATGGTCTCCTATACATTAATGAAAGAAATCATACTTCTCATAGTACAGACGATAGTGTTGAACTCTCGAGTCTCGTAAAAGTATTTCTAAACATGCTTCTCTCTTCCCTCTCCCCTCCCCCCTTGGCACCTTTGTGTAGAAACGCGGGAAGCGTACCTCATCTTACGTTGAATCTGATTAACCCTTTACCTCTTCATGTAAGTAAGTAAGTAAGTAACTAAGTAAGTAAGTAAGTAGAGCTTTAATTGAACCCATATGGCAGCCACCTAAGGCTGAATTGCATGAATTTACAAATTCCATTAAAGCAAGGCTTATAATTTGAAAAAGTACTAAAACCTACAAAATTAAGCTTAGAATACTAATTTACAAAAATTTGTAAAAATTCCTACTCCGAAAACTGCTAACGCCTGCACATAGATAATATTAGTGTTCAAATTCTTCACACTGTTCTGTTTGTTATATTTCCTCTGCTGCTGACAAAGGAGAATTTGTCGACAATCGGAAGCTTTTTGAATCGGTAATAATTTCGTTTCTTCTCACAACCTTTATATTTGATTGAAAGTTTTTTAACGTGAGGAAAAATTCCGGAACCTTCAATGTTTGGGATTACAGGGAAACATGTTGAGAAAAAATGTTTTTATTTACCTACGTTGACTTGCATACTGTCCAGACGAAGCGTTCTCTGAGTTGAATACAGTCTTAGAGCTCTTTTTTTTATTTCAAAGTTGATGGCTTTTTGTATGGAGACAAAAAAAAAAAAAGGTAAAGTCTGTTT